ATGAGGTTCACCATTAAGTTGTGTTTGCTATGTTTTCCTTTATTTGCTGCTATAAATTTCCCTCTTAGGACTGCTTTCATTGTGTCCTTTAAGTTGTGATCTGTTGTATTGTTATTATCATTCAACTGTAAAAACTAATTTCTCTTTAAATTTCATCTGTGACCCATTGGTTGTTTAGGATGGTGCTATTTAATTTCCATGTGTTTATGACATTCTTGTGGTTTATTTTACTGATTTGCAATTTATCCAGTCTGATAGGATGGGATAGCATGGGGTAATTTCACTTCCTTTGCAGTTACTTAAGTGTGTTCTAGGAGCCAGTATGTGATCTATTTTGGAGAATGTCCTGCGTGCAGCTGAGAAGAATGTGTATTCTGATGTAGGGTGGAACACTCTATACATCTACTACCTCCATTTATTCAAAAGTTTGGTTCAGTTCTAATATTTCATTATTGACTTTTTTGTCTAGTTGATCTACCTTTTTGTGACAGTGGGATATTGAGATCTTCCAATACACTCCTTTTTTAATTTTTATCCCAGGGATTGAACTCATGACCTCACACCTGCCAGGCAGGCGCTTATGCTGCTAAGCTAAACCCCTGATCCCTGTCAATACATTTGTGTCAGGGCTTATTTGGTTTTTCATGTCCATTAGTAATTGTTTATATGGCTGGGTGCACTGGTATTTGTTGCATATATATTTATGATTGTTATCTCCTCTTGGATTGTTCCTTTTACAAGGATGTAGTGTTCTTTGTCTCTCTTAATCAGTCTTGGCTTGAAATGTACTTGGCGTGCAAATAGCATAACTACCTCTGCTTTCTTTCTGGGTTCCTGTCACATGGAGTATTGATTTCCATCCTTTGACTTTCACTCTATGAATTTCTTTTAGAATTAAATTGTTCCTTATAAGCAGCATATTGTTGGATCTTGCTTTGTGATCCATTCTGCCAGTCTGTTTGTTGTCTGGTAAACTGAGACCATTAACACTGATGGTTATAATGGTATGTACTGACTTATCCTTGTCAGGTTATTTTCCTGTTGTTGGCTCCCTTGTTTCCTCCTCCGTCTAATTGTTTGCCTTTCCTGGTGGGTTCCCTCTATTGGGGTTCATGGAGCTGAAGTCCTTATTACTTCTTTCTAGAGTGCCCTTCAGAACACTTTGGAGTGCTGGTTTGGTGGTCACAAATTTCCTCAGATGTTCTTTGTCATGGAAGTATCTTATTTCTCCATCAATTATGAAAGATAGTCTTGCAGGGTACATCAATCCAGGTTGAAAGTTTTTTCCTTTAGAATTTTCCTTGACTTGAGAGTTTGTGCTGAAAAGTCGGCTGGAATTCGAATGGGCTTTCCTTTATAGGTGATTTCTTTCTTTTCCCTAACAGCTTCTAGGTTCTATTCTTGTGGTGAATTTCTGGAATCTTGACTATGATGTGCCTGGCTGACCATCATAAATATGTTCCATATGTCTTGTTTATCTGTATGTCAAATTCTTTTTCTCTAACAGGAAAGTTTTCTGTCATGATGTCTGTAAATATTTTTTTTTAAGTGTCATTTGTGGTATCTCCTGCTTGTTCATTGACTTCAATCAATCTTAAGTTATCCTTCTTTGTCTCATCTAGCAGCTGCTGGGTTGATTTCTCATGGTCCCAGGCTAGTTTTGAGAAATCTTTCTTCTCCTGGTCACTAATTCCAAGCCTGCCTTCAGTATCTAAGATCTTCACATGGGCCTCATCTACTTCAAATATTTTCAATGAAATTTTTATTTTCCTGGCTATCTGCTTGAATCTGCTTTACGGATTCCATTTTTTTCCTATGCTGAGCTTTCATAATTTTCTGAATCTCATCTTTTTTTTGTCTGTGTCTGCTCTGACATCACTTAGTATGGTGTGTATTTTGGTGATCTCTGTAGTTATGAGACATTACTTTTGATTTAATTTTATTCAGAGCCTCATTTAGTTCCTTTGTTACCCCTTCCAAGAGGCCTGGTGGGGGCTTTCAGATCATCCCACCTCATTGCCCCCCTGGATTTGCCTTTGGTGACCTCAATATCTGGGGTTGCATTTTGTTTAATGTCTTCTCATTTTGTTTTCTTTCTTTTAAAGTTTAATTCCTGGGATGATGCTTATAAACTGGCTATCGTATTTTGCTTTATTGCTAGTATTTAGATCTCTTAGGTGATGATGGCTTCTCTCAGGTGTCTTTCAGGCGTAGCTGGCTTTTGGGTTTTGAGTCTGTTGAAGGTCTGACCTCGGCAGTTTGCTGAAGGTGGGCAGTTGTTCGTTTGGCCCAGTCCCTGGCCCTCTGGCACTGTGCCACAGTACTTTCTGAGACCTCGGTCAGTCTCAGTCATGGACCACCAGGCCCAACAGCTGTTTAGAACAAGTGTTTGCACTGCAGGTCTCCCGGGTCCAAGGCACACACTCTCCCCCTTCTTGTTCTCCTCACTCTGCCGTATGCCAGCATGCAGTGACCCCGAGAGGCACTTTCTCCACTGCTTAGCACCCCGCCACCCTCCCAGACTCCCCTCATTTTTCACTGTCTGTCTATGAACTCCCTGAGCCTTGGGCCTTCACCTCGGTGCCACAGTGCTGAGTTCACAGCAGACTTAGGGGCTGGCAATGCCCTCGGCTTCCCCTTTGGTCTGTTCAGGCTGCTGAACTGTTAGCAGTTGTGACAGGGAATAGAACAGAAATCTGTGGAGCTTGGAGACCACAGGCTCATTTTGCAGTTAGGACCACTCAAGTCAAGGCACCATGGGTTCATCACTTGGAAAGGAACTCAAGACCCAAGATCAAGCTGCAGCCTTAGCTAGCATATGGTGTGACCCTGGCTTCCACATCTCAAGAGCTAAGTCACAGGAATGAAGGGTCAATGAGAGATGAGAGGCCACCTTAGGAGGACAGGAAGCCACCAGAGCGTGCCCTGAGACTAGGCTAGGGTGCAGCGCTAGGTGCTGGGGCCTCTGAGGAGTGAAGTCATGACTGGGCTCCTGGCTCTGAAGGACAGGGAGAATCCCATCTTACTAACTATGTGCACAGGCAGGAGTTAAGGAACGCATTGGTAGACACAGAGCACATGTGGGTTTAAACTTTTAGGCTGGAAAAATGACATCAGGAGTTCTCTGAAACATCACTGTGAGCACGTAAAATAAAGACCTCACATCAGCTTAGTGGATTCGCCATGTACCCCAATGCGATCATCACCTACCTGCTCTTCTGGCCTTATTTCCTAGGACAGAAACTTTAGGGAGATGACAGTAAGCCAAGCCACAACACCCATGGCAAGGGTTACGAGGACGCACGACCCAAAAGCAGCCACGCTGGGGAGATGTAACACCGCACGACAGGCCGACACCTGTGTCGGTAGGACCTCAACTAAGTGGGGAAGATGTGGTCAGAATTCCTTCCCTCCGGCCTTTGGGCCCAGCCAGGGCCACGCGAGGCTGGTCTGGTTCTGAAGATGGGGCAATGCCATAGGCTGCGTCCCTCTGGAAGGCCCACAGGAAGAGTGCTGTGCCTGGCTCAGGGGAGGAGGAGTCACAGGTGGCAGTGGTGGCCATTTCCACTGCAGGCTGCGGGGCTTTTCTTCTTAGAGCCGATTCCTGCCTGACCCTTTTCACCACTGGGTACACAGCACAAGCATGGAGGATCCTGTCCTCCAGTTTATGTGAAGGAAAAGCAGGCTCCCCCCACCGCATGCAAAGTGCCTGCTCAGTCAGTAGAGCAGGACAGCAGCAACCTCCTTCTGCTCCGGGCAGGATCCCAGGTGGCGGGTGGTGAAGGCCTGGACTCAGCAGGAAAGGCTGGAAGGGAAGGCGCCCGCATGCTGATGTCCATCTCCCGGGGCCTGCTCTGAGCAGCCGGACACCCACTGGCGAGGCTCCACGCAGCTTCCTCCCACAGCACAGCGCTGTGGTCCAAGTCCACCAGAGCCTGGGAAGTCTGAGGCACCAGGACTCGCTCCTGTCAGTGGAGTCACCCCCGACTGTGACGCTGTGTCGGGACAGCAGGGAGCCGGTGGCCGTGACAGCTGGGTCACCATTCTGTTTTCCCCCTTACTGCATCTCCAGGGTTTCCTCCACGCTGCACCCTGGGGGTGCCCAAAGGACCTCATCTCCAGGCTGCAGTCACGGTGATGGCCTTCCTGCAGCACCCCAAAGCCACACGTGCAGGTTACTGGTTATTAGAGGGACACGCAGGGCAACGGCCGTCTGGAGGTTGTTGGATCTTCTCTTTGTACCCTCCCCACACTCCTCCAGAAATGTTGGTGCACAGGACAGACAGACGGAAGGGAAGCCCAAGGGCCCACGACAGCCTCCCTCCGGCGCTGCAGTGTCCTGTCCTGCACTCCTGCACTCAGGTTGGGGGGTTCTGAGTTTCAGGGCCTTCCCTGGGGCTGCAGCTCCATGGCAGAGCGGCCGTCTCCCCTGTGTGAAGCCTTGGGTTCAGTCTCCAGCACCCCAAAAAAGGGTTCTTTATTTACTGCAAACCAAACGATTGACTTACTTGTTTAGGGAAAAAATGCCAATAATGAGATTTATTTCATTAACAAATACTTTAACACAAAGGGGAGATGGATACAGATACAGAGAAGATGCGAAACGGCTAGAATAAAGGAACCTGTGCTCTCCCTGTGGCACCCGTGTGTGGAAAGCAGGCCCCACAGCTGGGCGCAGCTTCCCCTCGGGCCTCGGGAGTTTGGCAGGTGAGCGCCCGGGGCCATGTGCTTTGCGAGACAGGGAACCGTGCCCAACATGGAATGTGCCCGACACAGGGTTACTCAGCACCACGTTATTACAGGGCGCAGTTAAATTTCATTTCCCAACGTGACTCTGTCTTAAAGCCAGTTAAAGGCAGGACATCGTGGTTCCTGCGAGCCCAGCCCTCCTCGGCTGGTGACCAGGCCGTCCTACTGAAGGTGCACTGCCCCTGCGTCCCTGCCACTTCCTGAGCCCCAACATGTGTTTCCTGAAGACAGCAAAACCCAGAACAATGGAAAACAGCTTTTAAAAATTTATTGAAGGAATGCATAAGTGCATCTAAATGATCTTTTAAACCAATTTTTAAATTTATCATACAGACTCCACTCCATATGCAATCTAAAACATACTCTGAAGACATCTTCTGATTTCTGGACCCATTTAAGGTCTGAATTTGATACAAGGGTATGAGGAGCTTCTCCTCTTGAGTGGTGACGGGTACCCTGTGGTTACTGCATGGACACGCACCCTTCCCTTCCCCAAACACGCTAGCCAGTTCCCATCAGGGCCCGTGACACACACTGAGGACACACCTGGTGGAGGTCAGGGGAGCTCTGGAATAGTTTCCCATTTGTTACCTGCAAAAGGCTAACCAACCTTTTTAGGCTCAAATGTCAGTGGCCTCATGGGAATCATGCTCTAGTCAACAGAGCTAAAAATACTAAATGTTAATTAAGCATATAAGCAAAATCACTTTGCTTTTCATATTTCCTAGGCAAGACTCGGGCTTTATAAAGAAATATTGCATGAAAGACAAAAGTGTTAATGAGAAATTAGAGAGTTTTAGCTACTTTTAAAGGCAAAATCTCACAATTTAATTGCATTTGTTCCACAGAGAAGGCTGGGATATAAGGAAATGACTTGATTTTTAATTTTAAGGTCCTAACTTAGAAATAAAAATGTTTTCTTAAAACCACCATGAGAATAAAACAGATCTAAAATAACTGCCAGTGTTCTGTAGGTTAAGAAAGTGAGATGTCCTAGGTGTGGGCGAACAGTCCCCAGGGCTGCCCCATGCTTCCCGGGAGCATCTCCTTTAGTCCCCAAGGACTGACACTTGGCTACAGCACATGTGTGTCCTGGGACCGGCTCTGACCCAGTGCCCAAGGACAGGAGATTCAGGTTCGCTGTACCGGCACAGGAAGCTGTTTCATCTCTCACAACTCAGCCAGGACAGGGAAGCTGGCAGCATAGCGCGCCCGGCCGTCAAACCTGCAGGTAACCCTTCAGGCACAGGAGCAAACACTTAAGTTTCCAACCCGAAGACTTTAAAAAAAATTAAGCTACTGAGCCGTCCAAAGTGAAAATGATTTTGTACGACAGAGGAGTGTCAGTCCCATAAACCAATACAGACGTTTATGAGCCAGTGATTAAAAAACAAGAAAGAGGAGGAGGAGGAGGAGGAAGACAGGAAAGCCGCATGGTCCCTGACCGGACATGTCAGTAAGTCAGCTCCAGTCAGGGACACGCTAAGAACAAGTTTTAAATTCTTAATAGCAAGGCTTTGGGTGGACACAAGCTGGACAGCAGCAGCATGGGCAGGAAGTGCAGGGCACTATCATCACATCCTAAAATAGCGAGGAGCACGCTTCGGACTGCTCTGCCCACCTTTCAGCAGCTTGGTTTCCTCTAAGCAAGGAAAGCTGACCCTGAACCTCCACCCGCGCACTACCTTCCTGAGGGGTGCTCTAGGAATGACAGCAGGACTCCCCAAGGCACAGGCTCACAAGGAGGCTGGCTGAGGGGAGTCGGGAAGCAGCCAAGTCAGCAAGCAAGCGGCCTCTGCGGCTCTGGCTTTCAAGTCTGCGACGCTGCTGTGGAGCAAAGGGCCCGGATCCCCACCCCTCTGCTGTGGGTTCTGTTGGTTACAAACGCAGCAAGCTGCGTTCATAGCACTTTAGCCATTGCAAGACGGACCCTCGCCTCCTCCCCTACCACCCACGTGTCGGAAAGGAGAAATTCTGTAAGTATTTCTTTCTGCAGCGCTATTAGAGCCCAACAGCGCTGAACTGTTAGGGTTATCTCAGGGGACCCTGCAGTGGACACTGAAAGTTGGCATGAATTGAAACAGGAGCTGGGCTGGAGCCGCCGGCCACTCCGCGCCAGCAGCCCGTCCTGCTTGCTCTGCTCTGTTCTGCCTGGAGTGGTCCCATGCCACCCCTCAGTGACCCACGGGCAGCAGCGGGGTGGTGGTTTTTGGGAAGCTACCGGTTGTGCTGTCTGCTTCCAGAATCACACAGACTATAACAAACTTGACACGCAACACTGTGAGTCCTGAGTTGGGTGGACGCCTGAGGAGGGGGGCTGAGTCCTTTGGAGTCTCTTTCCTCCCTGGCGGGGTGTCATAGGTGGCCTTCAGGGTCCCCTTCCATCTTTTTACTTTCTGTCCCTTTTTCACTGGGGGCCTCCTCTAAGGTCTTCTTGCTCATTGCTTTACTGGCCTCTTCCTGAGGAAAAAATAAGAAGTCAAGAAGGTTAGAGAAAAAAAAAGTAGAAAATCTTGGCTCCTCCAGATGTTTGCTACTCTGATTCTGTTTAGACTGCCTGCTGGGTAAGGCAAGGTGTGCTCCCAACTGCAGGGCTGAGCTCCCCCTTCCCTGGGCTCGCTGAGGGGTTCCCTGTCCTTGGGACCAGGGCTTGACTACGCTGGCGAGAGGCTGACGTCTCCAGAGCGTTCCTACCAGCTAGCTCCCAACTTTCCAGGTAACATGTAATGGCAGGACTTCCTGCAAATACCCCAATTCTCAATGAGGAAGCATGTGGGCAAAAACCCCTGATGTTTTTTTGGCTTTTTCCTTTTTATCAGTACCGGGGATTGAACTCATGACTGCCTGCTTGCCAGGCAGGCGCTTATGCCACTGAGCTAAATCTCCAGCCCCCCCTGATTGTTAAAAAGTAACAAAAGCCTTGTTTAACAAATGCTAAGTAACAGAGCCTCTCAGGGCATTTCTTTTCCTCTTTTCCTCAGGCCTGCGTGGACATGCCAGGGCCTCCTAACCTGTGCCTCTACAGGGCGAGTGTCCCACTGCTCCTCCAGATCCACGCCAGCCTCCCGTCCGAGGGCAAACCGCTCCTAGGTTCCTGTGCTTCCTGGCTGCCCACCCGAGCCCGTCCCTGCACTCAGCCCCCGGGAAGGTGGGGAAGGCAGTGCGGCTCCTGATCTGTGCGGGGCAAGGGGCCCCACCGCACCTTTGCGTCCTGCTCCGCGAACTTCTTGAACATGTTGGCATAGATCCTGCGGTCCCGCTCGTTGTGCTCCTTGGCTTTTTTCTGGCACATGGAGATCTGCAGTCTGGCGGCTTTATTCTGGGGATTGATTTCCAAGACCTTCTCAAAGTCGCCCTTGGCTGACTCGAACTCATTCATGAGCAGCTGGGCCTCGCCCCTCCTGTACAAGCCTTTCTCGTTGGCACTGTCCAGTCCGAGGGCCTACGGACAGGTGGTCTCTGTTAGAAAGGATGGGTGGAGCCCTTCTGGCTTGCGGGGATTTTACTAAGAAACGCAGCAGTTAAACAGCTTCCTAACACCCCTGACACAAGGAGATGGAAAAGGGGTCCTAAGAAAAGTGGAGCTTTAAACAATTATATGCCAATCAAAATGTACTACGTAGGCTGATTTCTGTATTCAGCGTAGCTTTGAGTCAATTTTTGGTGTTTAGGAGGGAATCCTCAAGAAGTCAATTCTAAAGTAAATGGCCAAGAGTGGCTGAAAAATTTTTGGAAAAGAAAATAAGAGGAACTTATCCTACCAAGGAAAAAGATTTACTATGAAACTCTGGCAATTCCAAGTCTGATGACTAGCACACAGACAGAAGTCAGTCACCAGGACAAACACATTGGAAACTCAGCGGTGTGCGCTGCAGCAAACACTCCTAGGCTCAGCGGCGGGCTGGGGACCCACACTGTGACAGTGGGGAGTGAAGGGGCACGTAAACAATAAATTCTTCACGTCGTAAACACAAAAAATAAATTTTAGATCAATTTACACCCAACCTGCCAATTATAAAATATAGTCATTATTTCTATAATGTTAAGGTAGTGAAGACTTTTTTCCCTGGGGACAGATTTGACTATGTAAGTATTAAAACTATAGGGAAAGATACAATCAACAAAAGACAAAAAGGTTAGGAGAATAAAGAGTTGACAAGTATTCTATGACTGCTTCAATCAAAAGAATTGCTTCAGATAATGTAGTCAAAAGATATGAATGGGGGTGGGCAGTGGCAAATGCCTGTTATCCGTTACTTGGGAGGCTGAGGCAGGAGGGTGGTAGGCTTAAGACCAGCCTTGACAACTGAGTGAGACTCTGTCTCAAAACAAAAATGCCGGGATTGGGTGAGAGAGCACTCGGCTGGCACGCGTGAGGCCATGGGTTCATTTCTTAGCATCAGTGAAATGAAAAACAAAAAACCTTACCAAAAATGCACAAAGCGGTGCCATTTGCCTTTCTTACTGCTTTGTGTACCTTTTACGATGTGTCCAGGCCTTAGCTTTACCTGTCACATAATTCGCACTATTTGCTGAGCCAGACCACAGGCATCAGGTGGGCAGAAATGTCAGAAGGGCTTGTGACTGCTCAGGCGCCTCCTGCAGGCTCCAGGTGGGAAGGGCAGCAGTGACACAGCTGCAACAGTGGAGAGGGCCGAGGGTGCTGCGGCCTTCCAGATCATTCCCATGTGATTCCATGGTGGATCAGCTTCTGTGAGTGGGTACAGGCTGGCATTGCAGTCCTGCAAAGCTCCAGCTGAATCTGCTTTTTATAGGGGACCCTATGCGCCCACTCTGGTACCAAACTCCATGGGTTTAAGGAAAGTTATGGAAAGTCTGACTGTAATAAAGAATCTTTTTGAATTTCCCAATTTATACTGAGCAACCCCAACACGCAAATCACTATACAAAATGGAAAACCTGCCACCTTCGGTGGAGGGGAAGCAAACCCTGGCTCTCCACGTCCATCTGTCAGAGGTGCCTTTACCTTGTCACAGCATTCCACAGCTTTGGCGTATTCTCGAAGCTTCAGGTAGCACATGGCCAGGTTCAGAAAAGCAGCGAGCAGGAACGATTCAGATGCTTTCAGCTCCTTCTCTGATAACCCATACTCCATCTCCAGCCAGGACACTATCTTCCCGTACTGGATCACCGCCTGCATGTATTTGCCTCCCTAGGAGAGACAAGCTTGTATTTACTTCTTGTGCTTCACCCTGCCAAGGAGTGTCCGTGTGGGCCTGCCCCAGGGGCTAACCCTGCTCCACCCAGTGACCCCACGGGTTCCTGCTCAGCAGCCTTCCTTCTGCTCCCAGGCAGTGGCTCCAGCCATCGGCTCCCGTGGGAGCTCCCACAGCCACGGCTCCTTCCCACAGCTGGCTGGTCCCTTGGGTTTGTTCTTTGATGCAAACACTCACTAATCTTTCAAAAGGAGGGTGAGCAGTTTGGTTTCCTGACAGCAACATACTCTCTTCTCTCCTGGTGTTCAGTACTCATAGTAAACTCTGTGATCGGGCAAGGCCAGTCCCAATGGCAGCAAAACTGAGCAGCCTAAATCAGGCTCCACTTTACCATTCAACTCTGCCATTTGTGGGCAAGAGCCCCTCCAGACAACGTATGTGCCAGTGGGGGTGGCGGTCCTAGTGAGCTTTTTTATTAATGCAGGTTTGCAGTGGGCGATGACTGCGTTCCTCACGGGGAGCTGGTGCATGCGCACAACACACCTTGGTTCTTTTTACCTCCCCTTTCCTCCTCCTCTCTTCCCTCTTGGTGCCACTCCCACTTTCCTTGTTTATTATCTTCTATTTTGGTCTAATCTATAGACACCTTGGGGTTCTCACAGAAGGGAAACCGCGTGATATTTGAGCTCATGTCTTACTAACATTATGGTCTTCAGATGCACCCATTTTCCTACAAATGACTCGAGCTTGTCTTGCTTTGTGCAGAGCAGTACTCCACTGTATTTAAATACATTTTCTTTGTCTACGCATCTGTTGATGGACACGTGGGCTCTTCCAAGACTTAGCTATTGTGAGCTGTGCTGCTATAAACATGGGTACACATGTATCACTGTGATTTAACTCTTTTGGGAAGACACCTGGGAGGGGAATAGGTGGATCAAATGGAATTTCTAGTGTTATTTATTTATTTTTTTTTTGGTACCAGAGATTGAACTAATGACCTTGTGCTTGCCAGGCAAGCGCTTGTGCCACTGAGCTAAATCCCTTGTCTACTGTTCGTTTTCTAAGGAATCTCCATACTGATTTCCACAGAGGTTGTGTTCCCATCAACAGTGTAAAGGGTTCCTTTCCCCGCTGCAGCCTGGCCAGTATTTGTTATTATCTGATTTCTTGATGAGAGCCATTCTTTCTGGGGTAAGATGGAATATCAGTGTTGTTTTAATTTTCATTTCTCTAATGGGCAGAGGTGTTGAACACTTCTTCATGTATTTATTGGCCATTTGTACTTCTTTTCCTGAGAAGTGTCTATTCATTTCACTTACCCATTTGGCCTTTTATTTGGAGGGGGATCTAATTTTTTGAGTTCTTTATGTATTCTAGATAGTAGTGGTCTGTTCAAGAAGTAGCTGGCAGAATTGTTTTCCTGTTCTATGCACCGTCTCTCCACTGTTTCCTAGTGGGAGTTTACTTACAAACACAGGCAGTGGGTGAAAGCTGACGCACAGCCTATAGATGCTGAGCTAAAGGCAATGGGAATACATGCAGCTGACTCCAACAAGCACAAATAGTAACCATAAAACAACACAAATCATCACACAGATGTTGGTCAACTACACGACACTAATATTCTCCTACTCATTTTTGCTCTTACCCAGTGACAATCCTAATAATTATAAAATGCACCATACAAATAAAAAGTCTATAAATATATACCTACACATAGGCACACATGTGGGCTCTGTACAACAGAGTTTGGGGCTGAGACAATGTGCTTATTACCATAGTAGGGTGAATGAAAAAATGGAGCGATAGCTGATAAAGATATAAAAATAGGCACTGAGGTGCAGGCTCCCCTTTGCAGGAGATGATTATAGGCCCGAGAACACAGATACACACCCTCCTGAGTGGCAGAAAGCAGCCACACCCATGAGGACACTAGAGCCAGTGATGTCACCGGGATTCAGCATACTCAGAGCATTGAGTGCATCTCACCCCACACGGACTCCAAATCCCCACCAGTGGCTTTGCATAAGAAGAGAATGGACAGGGGCTGGGGATTTAGCTCAGCGGCATAAGCGCCTGCCTTGCAAGCAGGCAGTCGTGAGTTCGATCCCTGGTACCGATAAAAAATGAAAAAGACAAAAAAAAAAAAAAAAAAAAAAAAAGAAGAGAATGGACTGAGCCTAAGAGAAGGGGCGGGTTATTTAGGGCCCAAATGGATGGTGTGAGCATCCAGCCTGTAGAAAGGAGGCCCTACTGTGGGTTTGCTAGTGACTATGAGGACCGAGGTCTGCGTGGGGCTGTGCTACTTCCCCTAGGCACCCTGTTTCACAAATCTCCTGTTTGGGGAGAGCAATCCACTGATCTCATCAGTTTTGCAGCAGGAAGTCAGTGCTGAAGGATGCTGGAGTTATGCAGGAGAAAGGCGCTGAATCCCACACCACATTCTGCCGCAGAAGGGTGTGATAACCTTCATGTGAGAGTAGGAAAGCAGGTCTGCTCCTCAGAAATACTTGCTGAGGACTACACTGTGTCCCTGCTCCACATTTCCGTGTTGGAAGCCTACATCCCAAGGGTAGGAGGGCCAGCCCGTGTGATGGGATTAGTGCCCTCACAGGACTGGACAGCAGAGCTCTCTTTCTCCCTCTCACTCCACCACCACATGAGTGAGGAGGGCACGTGGGGCCACAGCAGGAAGGGTGCACGGGCACTCTGAGCAGACGGTCCTCACCAGATATGGCCCGCTGGCACCTGCCTCTTGGACTTCCAATCTCCAGAGCTGAGAGGTAAATTCCTACTGTTAAGGCATCCAGTCTGTATTTTGTTATAGTAGCCAAGCTAAAACAATACTTACCTTTCTTTCATAGCTTTAGACCTACACTTTTTAGGGCACTGCAAAAAAGATAACAAGTCCTCATCAGCTTCAGGGGTTGGCATTTTACTTCTGTCATTAACTTTTTCTTGCTGGGTCATGAGGTCTTTAAGGACAGGCAACATGTCCTACCAACTTTGGAATACTCAGGGTCTATTACAAAGAGGTTTTTCATACGTCTTTGCTGAGTGAACACTGAAGTCAGAGGAGTCTAACTATGGAGTCAAACTTCCTGTCGAGCTGGGTGTGATGCTACACACCTGTAACCCAGCACTCAGGAGGCTGAGGCGGGAGGAGTGCCATGAATTTGAGGCCTGCCTGGGGTACAGACTGAGTTCAAGGCCAGCCTGAACTGAAAACCCTGTCTCAAAACCAGACCACCAAACCAACCCACCCCCTGCAGAACCTTCCTAGTGCTGGGAGCAAAATTTGAGATGGACAGAAAGATGGCCTCTGAGGCAGGCGAGGCCTCCAGGCATGCCTGCTTTCCTCTTCCTCTCTCATCTCTAATGCACCACTGACTTTCTGACCGCCTCCTGGCACTGTTACAGGAAACAAGTCACAGGGGACAAAAACTTGGTCTTAACACTTAGTAGGTTCTGAATATTAAGAATGGTGGAAAACTATGATTTTTAAACACACACACAGTAGGCTTCTTAATAGCTCCTTTACATTTACAGGATATTTAGATTATCTTAAATCTCATTTTACAAAATCTCTTTCATAATTTTACTCGTTTATTCATTCATTCACTCATTCAGTGCTGGGGATTGAATCCAGGGCCTTGGTACTCAGCTACATCGCTAGCCCTTTTTAAAATTTTGTTTTGAGGCCAAGAGGGTCTCTCTAAATTGTGAAGCTGCCCAGGCTGGAGTCAAACTTGCAATCTCCTGCCTCAGCCACCAGAGTAATGCAATTTTGCCATGTACCAATTTTATTTAGACTTTCATTTCTAATAAGCCAAAATATGTTTTGCAGTATTCTTGCTTCTAAAGTACTAAAACAGTGATTCTCAAGTGGGGGTGATTTTGTTCTCCCAGGGAACATCTGGAGATGTCTTGGTTATCACAAATGGGGGGGGTGGTACCACTAGCACTGAGTGGGCAGAGGCCAGTTGTATGTTAAATATGTCATAGTGACCAGGACAGCCCCCACAACCAGGAATTATCCCAGTATCAGTAGTGCTGGAGTTCAAAAATCCTGCACTAAACTGGACATGGTGATACATGCGTGTAATCCTAACTACTTAGGAGGCTGTAACAGGAATATCACAGGTTTCATGTCAGCCTGGGCAACTAAGTGAGACCCTGACTCAATGTATGAAAAAAGAAACACAGACAGACAGATGGGCTGGACGTGGTGGCACACGAATGTAATCCTGGAACTCAGGAGGTTGAGGCAGGAGGCCTAGGTTTGAGGCCAACCTAGGCAACCTAATGAGTTCCAGGCCAGCCTGAACTGCATAGTGAAACCCTGTCTCAAAAAGACAATAAATAAATAGAAAGAAAGGCAGACAGGCTTTAGATGTGTAAGTTAGCAACAAAGTTCTCAATTCCCAATACCTTTCCCTAAACACACACACACATGCATGCACGCACGCACACTCATACACTAAAGCAATGAAGGAGAAAAACAGACAAGGCGGCCTCTCAACCATAGAGGACTTCTAAGACTGCATTACTAATATCTTGGAGCACAAGGGGGCGCAAGAGCCCCACATCATTGGCAGTCACGCTTCTCTCTCTGCCACCAAAGGAAGAGAAAAACACTATCTAGGTGTGACAGAGCCGCTCCCGTCCTGCAGACTCTTGGCTAGAAGGGCAGGAACCTGGTCTGTGGAAATGGCTTGCACAATGCCTGGCATAATATCAGGTTGCTACCTGCACTTAGTAATTATTTTCAGAGCCAAATGAAGAAAGTCCTCGCCTAGTCTTCTCATTAGTGCTCAGGGGTTGAAAGGTTTTACTGTCTAGACAGCCAGTCCTTCCCATTTAAAACCTCCTCGCTAAGGGAGAGAGATTTACACTCTTAGGCGTAAACCAAACCAACAAGTCAATGCAAACGGAGTGCCAGTGTGTATGAAATACAGATTTCCAGTCAGCCCATCTCTGCTCACCCACACAGCTGGACTCTGTGCACGCAGAGCGTGTGCCAAGTCAAACACCCTGGAAAGAGGAGGGCATGTGGCAGATTGAAACCTGCCTGAAGCTTGATAGAAGGGAGTCTGTGCCGGAAGCTATCTAGCAACCATTCTGGAGTTTACAGCTGCGGCTAGGATCACTGTTGGGACCTTTTATCTACAGGCATAAAGGTGTCTCCAGGGAGGTTTTTAGCGGGAGGACAAAATGTTCAGAGAAATTCCAGGGAAAAGTCTTAGGTCAGTGTTTGTGAATCTTTCATTAATTTTCCCCAGTAGACTAATGTGAAAGATCTTGTCGATTGAATTGCATGTTAAAAATATGTTCCATATGTGTGACTGCTGACTCTACAGTTTATCCAAAGATCAGTGATCTTAAGAAGGTTCATAAAATGAAATATATAGTTATGAAATATATAAATCATGGCTGCAATTGTGACACTAATGAGCAACAAAGTAACCATACAGAAACTTAACTATTGGTTTCTGGTGCTGCTCCTAATTCCAGCTGTCTCTGTCTATATCCAGTAGACAGCTACACATGACATACAGCTTCATGACACTTTCTCATTATTGAAAATGTTCTCTAAAATTCGGTGTGGTCAGCAATCAGTTAGCACTTCTGGTTGGCTAAGCCATTTTACTATACTGAGTTGACAGAAGTCTAGTCAAATACCAGAAGCTTTGAATCCTCCAAACTGCAAATATCCCACTTAAAAGTTTGGGGGAATACCTAAAATCCTGATGGGATGCATCCTGAGAAATGACTTGTTAGGTAGTTTGGTCACTGTGAGAACACAATCAAAAGCACTGACAAACCTACCGCACTCCCAGGCTGTGAACCTGCTAGGCCTGTTACAACACTGAGTACTGGACAGCTGTAACACGTGGCATTTATGTATTTAAGTGCATCTAAACACAGAATAGACAATTTATAGAAGCACCACCACAAAAGGATGAGTGCGTGCGTGTGGGAGGCATGTGAGGGCCAAGGACATCACTGCCTGCCTCTATGAGGTATAGTACATTTATTAAAATATTATTTTCTCAATAATTTTTTTTTCATACTGGGGACTGAACTCATGACCTTGCGCTTGCCAGACGGGCACTTACGCTGCTGAGCATACCCTGCCCTTGTTTCAGTAAGCTAATCTTGGCTTACCATATCATTTTTACCTTATAAACTAATGTTTTTAAATGTTCTCTTATAATAACACTTAGTTTAAAACAAAAACACAATGAACACTACAAAAATATCTTGTTTTTATATCCTTCATCTGTAAGTTTTGGCCCCTAAAATATTTTTCTATCCTTCTTCAAGTCCTTGTTAAAGATGAAGGAGTCTGCGGCCACAGAAGGCCAGGATCATCAGTATCACTGTGCCACTTCCCGCTGCGTCCCACCAGAAGGTCTCTGAGGGCAGTGACTGCAGGGAGTTGTCATCTCCTGCAAGAACAAGTCCTGTTCTGGGACTTCACCTGCAGGGCCTACCTGAGGTTGTTTTAAAGTCAAGTGGGAGTAAACTGAGTAAACTGGAACAATAAGCAGTGTAGCACAGTAAATACTTACGCCAGTAACAGGGCTGCTCACTACATTGTATGTTCTGTGCTTTTCTACTCTGATAGAGCGGATCTGCGGACGCCTGCATCACCGAAATGAAAGTGATGCGCTGCACCGCAACGCAGGACCGCAGTGACATCAGCAGGCAGCAGGAGCTGTCACGCTCCATTATCCTCTTCTGGCATCACCGTCCCACCAGCCGTTCACTGGTACCCGAAATGCTGCCACACAGCACATGGTAGTACAGCTGGGACTTTTACAGAACCCAGGAATATCATTTTGGGCCTTTGGTCTGGACAGAAACCATCTATTATGTAGGCAGGAATGCAAATAATCCACTGGGAATCTTACTGGAATAGTCAAATAGACTCATAGAGTTTTAACAATATCAGCTTGGTTTCACCAGTTCAGAAACTCACAGAAGGTTAGGGCTGGAAAGAAACTTGGGGATAATTTCCTCATTTTTCACATGCAAATAGGATTGTTTTGGGTGTTAAATGACTTTAAAAATCCTTTGAAAAGCAATAAAGCCCAGTTTTCCAAACTCCCATCTCAGAGCTCATCCCATCATACCCCAGTGCTTTCTGGTGGCCTACACGTTATCCTACTATGTGTAATAGTGACAACTAAATATGTGAACCCGTGGACTTCAGATTTGACTATAAACCACAGTAAAACCTACACTTTAAACTATAGCCATGCACCCACTCATAATAAATCAAAGTTTTATGCAATAAAACTTGTCCTTATTACACACTGCAGTGTGTGTCCACTAAACTGACTTGATGACCCAGGCACGGGTCTCACTCGGTTCAAAGTCTGTCCAGGTTGCTGTCTCTCCAAGTTCCTCTTGGACTGATTATAACTTCCTGCACAGTTCTCTAGTTCTTTTATTTGGGTCGGCACTGCCTCCAGTCTCCCCAGAAAAGACTATTGAGTGAACAGCATGTCTTAAAGCACCAAGACTTACTCAGGTTTTTTTACATCTCCTTGCTTTATACTGTTACGAAAAATCACTGATTTCTGCTTATTGGTTGCATTGGCAAAAAGAAATGACAAGACAAGGAAAAAGCAAACTAACTGTGATGAAATCCCCACTCTGACTCCCCTCACCCCAGCCCTCCCTTCCTGCCATGTAGAAGGTGTCTTGGGGGCGCGCGCGCAGTGGCAGCGCACTCTGATTAGCATGGAACTAAGTGTGGGTTCTGTTTTCCTGCATCTGGGGAGTTCAGGTCTAGGGGAGAGAATACCAGTTTCCTAGATATGACAAGAAAGGGTTTTGAGGAGTAAACTATGATGAGTGTCACTTAGGAATTTTCTGAAGACGTCTCATGGATCATCATGGCCATTAGACGCAATTAAGCCTCCTCGTATCAGTTCCTCTCAAAACCTGTGCATGGCTGACCTGGATGCTGTGTCATCCACTCCAGCCCCGGGAGAGCCGTCAGGATCAGGCAGCATCACTAGAGGATACTTTTATTTTGTTGTTCAGTTATGGCAATATTGGTATATGTTAAATAATATTAAATATTGTTGGGATTTTGCTGTTTCCATCTAATAGCAAAGGAGAATACCTTTCTTCTCAGTTGTAAGTATTATCAGAACAGGTGTTAGGTTCTGCACATAGCTCAGTGGTAGAGAGGGTGCTTGCCTAGCATCTGTAGGGCCCTAGGTTAAATCCCCAGTATATTCCCTCTCCAAATAAAGCAAACCAAAGCACATCAATACAACAACAGCAAAAATAACAAGTCTTAAGGAAACTATTACCTTGGCCACATTTCCATATAGATCAATATAACACGATACTTTTGGAAAGAATATTCAATAAGTATATAGTTAGTTTTAAAAATCTGCATTTTTTTTCCTTTTGTCACAGGATTTTTTTTTTTTTTTTTTTTTTTTTGATGATTTCAACAAGACAGTGAGAAGGAAAATGATGTGAAACTTACCCCTGGGAATTTCATTACTTGCTAACAATTCTGTCTAAGTGTAAGCAAGGTGCTCTAGGCCTCACGTGACACTGTGGTGGGTGGACATCCGGCCTCAGCCTGCCTTTCTGAAGCCTACAGTCTAGCCTGCAATGTATAGAAGAGGGATGTGCATTTTTTCACATTTATTCATTTTTCTTACCATTCCTTTGTGCTGAATCTGCAGGTAGGTAAAAATGAAGGCTTATTCTTACCAAGAAGGATGTTGATAGAATTCAGAGTAGGGAGCATCAGCACAATTCACTGCCACCTGATCAAATTCTTTGGCACGGAAAAGACTGCCCAGGGACTCACGCACCTTGAAGTACACAGTCCCCTTTTCTTTGACAATGGCAGCCTGCTCCAGTTTTTCTTTGGTGTCCATCTCCCAGGATTCTTTGGCCTGTGTGTAAATTTGTGGCAATGGTTAGATGAATGAGCACGTGAGCAAAGTCACTGGTTGACGGCCTGAAGAAGGAACCCAGTCTCAAAACACACTGGCTGTTACAGCAGTGCGCCACTGCCAGCCACTGCCAGGTGGGTGATCTTTCTACTGCTTCCATGGTGGCCACGCTGTGGCTCAGCTCAACCCATGCCGCCCAGGGGGTGGAGCAGGCAAAGCACAGCGAGGAACATAAGCTGCTGAGCACCATGAAGAATCTCTGTTGGCACAACACAGCCAGCCCAGCCATGAAGGCGGGCCCATCAGTGCCCTTCTGCAAATCTGGCCAGTAAACTGCTCTTTTGAGTTCAGCAAGTTGTTTCTCTCCAGCCTCAGTTTTTCAACTCTAAAATGGGAACACCGACTATAGTAGTCAAGGCATAGTTATATATTCTAATAAAATCTTTCAAAATTCCAGGGCAGGCATCCTAAACACCAAGATGCACAAATACCTCTGAATGGTATCACAGTGCAGATATGTACATGGTGTGTTTCATGTAAACAACCAAGAGTGCAAAGCTCGTGTAAAAACATCACATCAGAGCCATAAATAAGTAAGCTCATGTCACCTGCTAGTTTGTATTGTGGGTATCCTTACTCTCCATCACTACAGATATAATCTAAAAATAACTGCATTTTCCACACCAACAGCCAGATTTAAGATCATAAAGTCAATGGAGCAATCGGAGTTTTTCTGGGAAACTGGTAATAGGTGTGGTGAGTGCTACTTAGTACATATGAATTATGAAGTGTAAGTGGGTAAGTACAAAATTTCCTCAAAAGATAATTAGCAACAGTTAGGGTGTGGCTCAGTATTGAGCACTTGTCCAGCATGCATGAGGCCCTGGGTTCCATTGCCAGCACTGGGACTGGGGTGTTTGTGAGGGGGTGAACAATTAGTATGTGTTCTTGTGTTGCAGCCAGGAATGAGGGGGATACTAATGTTCTGGCAGCCCACGTTGCCTTTGAACAACTTAGCCCAATTATTTAACAGCCTGGTTAACAAGGACACTTTGCATTTCCCATATTGGCTTCAGTATGGACCATAAATATAGTCTTAATACTACAAGGCAAAATTAAACCATACTGCCCCAACAGCATCACAAGCCTTTTTTTTTGTTTGTTTTTTTTGGTACTGGGAATTGAACTCAGGATCTTGCGCTTGCTGGACAGCTGCTTGTGCCATTGAGCTACATCCCCAGCCCTTCACAAGCCTTCTTGCATGTGACTATAGCCAGCAGCGTTGCACGGATACTCTCGTGGAGCAATGGCCGACACAGGACTGCTGTGGCATGCCACAGTGAGAATTCTCCTAAAAAACAGAGGGGGGCGAGGGGAAGAGAGGGGCTCCTTTGAAGCTAGGGAAATGGGAAAGCCAAGTGCTAAAGATTGTTTTCTTCCTCCATAATAAAACCAGGAGGTGCTGCGGGAACGGCACAGGAGGGTCACTAAAGGCTTAGCAGGCTTCCGAGACAGGTTGCGCAGCAACAAGTGACACTGGGAGAATAGTATGTGTTTGTGGGCGGGGTTTGAGTAGGAGCATCCTGGTGCGGGGAGAAGTCCTCCTCACAGTGTCTAAGCCCAAAGTTTTAGGCTCACAGGACAATTCCCTTTTGGGGCCTAATAAAATATAAATGGTTACATTCCTAGTCCAGAGTCTAATGCACAGAATACAGAGGTGGTGGCGCTGTATGGAGATAGAACAGGAACACGGAAGGCAGCTTCTAAGGAGCTCCAGGAAATGGGTGTCGGTCACACACAGCCTGTCGCTGGCACTGGCAGGCAGGCTCTGCAGCTCAGGCGTGTGCCTTGTGTCTGTTCCGTTCAGCACTGCTGGGGGCCTCCAGAGTGGGCCAGGGCTGGAGAAATGCCCACGGAGGCAGACTGTTTCTGGAACTCAAGGCAACAACAAATCCTCTCGCTTCTCCACTTTGACAGGCAGGAGAGGTTTCAGAAAGGCACAGGATTAGCAGACTTTCTTTCCTGCGTCCTTGGTGGGACACAGCCTGGCGACTGGGATAATAACCTGGCGCCACCATGCAGGCCTCTCTGTGACTCCTGAGAAGGGTACAATCTGTTCAGCACTGGAGAGCTGCGCCCCACTCCCCCAAGGAGCTGCTTGGCAGTACGTGATCCTTTTTGTCCTCAACCCAGGAAAAAAAGTACAAAAAGAACAAGTCTAGGAACAAATAAGGGAACAAGTCTTGGAGTCTACCCAAAAAAGTTTAAAAAAAAAAAAAAAAGGCTGACACGTAGGAACAAAATAAGAACACTGAGCTCTTTGGTTGTGTATCAGCTGTGCTGGGTCAGTTGTCCCATGCTCTAGTAGTCATGTGGGACACAAGAAACAAACCTAGTAATGAGAAGCACAACAGCGATAAACACCGACTGTCTCACCACCTGGAGCAGAGTTAATAGGAAGTGGATGGAGAGGAACTCTAGCACGATTTTAGAGAAGTTGGTATTTTCTCACCTTTTCGAAGCTCTTAAGTGTAACTTCGTACATAAGCTCAGCATTAGGTTCAATGCCAAATTTAGGCTTCCCTGCCTCTCCAAAACCATATCTGAAATGGAGAGTAAAAAATAAAACTGTAAAAGAATTGGTGTATTTCCAGACACTTCCTCTGGTATTCTGAGGCATCATGCCAGCATAGAGCTATCATTCGTAAACTACACACATCAGAGACCCTGAAGACAAACGGATGTTGATCAGAAGATACAGTGCCAAGTATTCCTCTGGTAGCTTTTTTAGACTCTTGGGTGGACTGAGTTTTCTTTTCTTCCCCATGCACATGTAATAGAACGCCTGTACTTGAGAGCTTGCTCGATGCCATTTTTCTCTGCTTGCTTTTATATTTAGTTATTTTAGCTATCAGGACTTTTTCCTTAAGCTTTATCAGCAAGGACAGAGGAGACATGGCTGCCGAAACTGTTTCAGAGTGATGATCATTAAAGGTATGTGTTAATAAGCTTCTAACTTTAAAGTGCTATTACCTTCCAGTGCTATCACTTCCAGTCAAAAAAATGGAAAGATTTACATCTAGAGAAGTATGTTCTCACAGTATTTAAGATTTAAAAAGATGTGCAAGCAAACACAAAAAATTTCTTTAAAAAATAATAATAAAAGTAGCAGCCCTAGCACCTTGTCCAGACACATACTCTTTTTTTAGATCTTTTAGCTAACACACTAAATAAAATAACTGGGGATATGCAAATTTGTTTTTTAGGGCCATTGAAGATCTTTAACAGAATAAGCGTATTCAAGAAGCATGCATCTGCTAGCAGGGAAGTTCTAGGGGAGCCTGCCTGTCTGGTTCTGTGGGTTCCCAGCACGTAGAGCGGTGTCCAGTACGCTGGTACAGTCATATGGGAATATATTCCTTCCTATCTGCTGTATGCCAAACTACTTGTGAATAGACAAAATGGCATTACTGTATAAAAAACCCTGTAAGCCCAAACTTTAAGGTTACAGGCTGAAGGACATCAGAACTGGGTCCATGCCAGTACCCTGGTTTTCTCCGGACTGCACGACTGAAGTGGAAAAGGCTTATTTTTGTTGCTAGCACTACTTTGTGCACGCCTTGCCTGATTTTCCAGGAAAAATGCTTCCTCGTTCACCTCCATGAGTACATGAGAAAATGGTGGCTGGAGTAGAGAGGCAGAGACGTACAGCGAGAGCTGCTGAGAATAGGGCGTGGTGGCTCTAATAGCAGGGCAAAGGGTGTCTCAGCAAAGGGATAAAAGATGTATTACTAGTGGCCAATTTTAGGGAGTGGTACCTAGTTCTCTACTTGGAGATCTTAGATCTGTCTCCTGTTTTGTTTTTGCCATCTGGTAAACAAACAGCATTCCTTACCTGCCTGACACAAGGTCAGACCCTATTCACTGAGAACATATTGTGCTTTGGAGTCCCAGGTTAGGCAGGGAGACATGTAACGGACGATATGGCATTTGCTCTAGACTGGTGGTTTTTAGGATAATTTTCACCATTCCTTCCCCATGGGACATTTGGCAATGTCTTAGAGGCATCTTGGGTTGTTTTGGGATGGGAGAACTGCTGAACATCCTGCTAGACCCAGGTCAGCCCCTAACCCTAAGAATTTCCCAGCCCCAAACATCAATGGTACCGAGGATGAGCAACCTGCTTGAGAGGAGCTCACAAACTGGGAACCGCAACTGGGCTGGGAAGTATAAAAAACTGGTCAGAGGAGCCACCACAGTGTCCTGGCTGCTATGGACAGGATTAAAGGATACTAAAGAGATTATCTGTGCAGTGACTATGTGGGGATGTAGGTGGGGTACGGACCCCTGTGAAGGCAGAAGCTCACATCCAACTGGTCCTGGGAATACTGTTTCTGACTTCTGGATTCCACAGAAAGCTGTCTGACAAAGAAGGGCTTGGGGCACATAACTCATCTGACTACAAGATAAAGACCACAGGTGAAATTCCAGGACTTAACCAAAATGTAAGCTGGGCTGCATAACAGAAGAAATTTGGTATTAATGTCCTTGAATTAACAGTCATCTCCAGAGCCAAGACACAAATAAAGAACTTCCTTGACCACTGGGCCTGGATGTGCTCACAATCAGCACTCGCAATCCCAGCTCCTACTGACTGCTCTCTTTTTACAGTTGAAGAAACTGGAGCTCACAGAGCAGCGCTTCCTAAGAAGTCACACCAAGAGGCAGTTTGGCAGAGCCAGGATTTAAATTTGCAAACTCTGTGATCTGAGGGAACTGTCTGGTTTTCTGACCTCACTGCCTCATAGTGACTCTATCACTCTGGCAACCTCTGTTTTTGTTTGAGGCTGGTACAGGACAGAAGAATAAGGAACAGGAGGAAAGAGAAAAGTTACAACTATGCATGCTTCACTTAAAATGAGAAAGGTTAACTAGAGTGTTGGAAACAACATAAAGAGAAGACATTATCCAATGAGAAGAGAGAAAAATGACTTCTTTGGAAGTATCTTATGCGTTTCTTAGTATGAAAACATTCTGACAAGGAACCAAAGTGTGCCTTAGAAGTTTTATGGAGAATGAAATGCACTAAGAATGACACTAAGAACACAAATTTGCCACCGCCACATTTACAGCAACACTCAGGTGCAGCGGTCAGTGGAAATCTGGCTGAGACAAGTAAACGCATTGGATGCGCACAAAGCATGCGTGGTGCGTAGGGCTTTTTACATACATGTGCAGCATTCCACAGTGTGGGTGCAGACACTGTACTCTGTACAGAGTCTCAACATAGCAACACCTTGAGCTGAAAATAACATGTATCTTTCTAACTATGCTAAATTGTGTTCATAGAACATGAAACAACTTTTATGTCTAGAAACTTGTGAAAACTTGTTGAGTACTTTTATGCTTGGAAAGATCTGAAAAATCTACCGCATGTTAAAACCAGATTTCTTTTTTCTGTCGGTCCAGTGGTAAAATGGGAAAGACAGCTGTCCCGAAAGAAGTGGAGCCTGATTACACTGCAGGCAGCTTGCTAAGCATTCATGTACCACCTCACTGAGTCCTCCACACCTCTATGGGGAAGATGCTGCTATGCCCACTTACAAGGAAGCACTGAGCATCAGGGGAGCTAAGTGACCTGCCAAGCTGCAGCAGAGCAGGTTTTAACCCTGATGATGTAACAGTTTAAACCTGCATGGAACTGCTTCCACCAATAATTTCTGCTTTTCTCCACCATTGAATTTGAGACATCTGCACCCACACTGCCTTGCCAGCTAGGTTAAAATGTAATACTGATTCATATCATGATGCTCAGAACATGCACTTACATTCAAGGAGCATAAATTTGAAAACACACATTAGGCAAATATCTCCCCTCTATGAATTTAGAACTACTATAATGTTGAATGCTAGACTTAAAGCAATTATAGATTATTTGGCTATGGAGGAGATAGCCTTCTTTTCTCTGCTCTACTTGATTAAAAAAGTTCTTTTTAGAAACAGGAATAGTGGGCTGGGGATTTAGCTCAGCGGCATAAGTACCTGCCTGGCAAGCATGAAGTTGTGAGTTTGATCCTCGGTATGGAAAACAAAACAAAACAACAGGAATAGCTTATCTTAGAATATCTCATCTTAGAATTATAATATAGAGTAAATAAGTAAAATACATTGAAGTAGGACAATAGTAGGAAAAAAATAGGATAGAGAAAAAGCAGTACTACATAAAAGGTGTTTCAATAAAGGCTTTAAGGAGTTTAAAGCAGAGCATTCTAGAGGGATTATGAGTGCATAGTGGCACAGTTAAAGCATCATCTGAGAAATACTATGGTCAAGGATTTGGGCACAGGTAAACATACCACTGAATTACTAAAGAGGATACACAAAGGCAACAGACAGTACAAAAGGCACAGGGTTTTTACTGGCAAGGGTAGTCACTGAGGGTGTCAGGAACTCCATGTCCTACTCTCTGGAACCCCCAGGGAGGACACTCCAAATAGGCAGACCACACTTTCATGGGAACAGAATCAAAACACCCTGGGGTCTCTCAAGGCTCTACTGTTCAAGAGAGAAGAGCTAGACTCATGGTATAATTTTAGACCTAAAAATAGTACCAAATACGTTTTCACAATACAGATTGTCAGATCTGATAGTCTGAAGCTTGGAAGTGCTAATGGACATCGTTATGATGGGAAAAATTCAGGTAAATGAGTCATCTCTACTGCCTTTAGATCCAGGAAGAATACATATTTTTTCGAAGCCTCTGTATAAGAACATGTGGCGTAAATTCAAGTGGTAGTAAATCATCCAAATGGGTCTTCAGTTCCCCAGGCCCACATTTTTCTGCTCCTGCCCCACTTAGAGAAGAGAAAAGAGGGGTAGGAGAACCACATGTGAAAAGGGCCATAGCTGCCTGACTCTGGGAATATAGGCAGGCAAGAGAGAGCAAATGGCAAAATGGGCCTGTCAGTCGTCCTTAAACCACGCCAGCCAAGTACACGTGCTCACTGCTCCATGTGATGTGGCAGGCCACTAATATGCTTGGTGACTAACTGTGCCCTGACCCAATGAAACGTTTCCACTGCTGCATTAACTTCGCTGAAGACACCAAGATCCTGAATGGAAGTGCATGTGCGTGGGGCTGGTAGGCTGCTTACTGTGGTCGAAGAAATAAAATACACTGTTCTTCCCGCTGCATTTTCTCCAGGGCTTTGTCAATTCCAAGGGGGATGTCGTGGTCTTCTCCTTCACCAACAATGAATGCCACATCTCTGCAATCGAACATCCTTCCACCACAGTGGCCTTCCAGGTGGACTGAAGGTGAGGAAAGAGGTCAGTCAACACAGCAGCCCCCCACCACAGGATCCTGAGTGCAGGCACAGATGAGTGCCCAGCAATGTCACAAACACCATTTCTTTTCTTGTTTCATTGAGACACAAGTGGTAACCCACCCAGTCCAAGAAGTTTAAGGGTCACCATATTTGTTTTAAGTTAAGTATGTAATCGCTGTTAACGATGTCAATAAGACAGCTTAGTGAGTGACACACTAGAAACAGGCTTATCTAAGCCTCACTCTATGACAACTTCCCCACCTATAACTCAGGGTGAAGAAATACTGTATCGCTGGGCATGGTGACGCATGCCTATCATCCCAGCACTGGGGAGGCTCAGGCTGGAGGATCACTGCAAGTTCGAGGTCAGCGAGGATTCGAGGCCATGTAAATTCAAGGCCAGCCTGAACTGCATAGGGAGACCCTGTCTCAAAAACAAGTAAACAAACAAAAATACTGTACTGGACTATCTAAATAGATAATTATAAAAATGCCACAAATTTAATATCATATATATAATGTCTCAGCCATCTATAACTGCATCTTGACCACCAATACCTGGGCAAAAAAAAAATCCTAACAATGGTTATTTCCCCAATGACGCAGATTAATTGAAGCTTTTCCTTGAAGATTCTTTAATTACACTCACAAATGTATTTAAACAAAAATGGAATATCCAAAGCCAAAAAAAAATCGATAACCAACTTAGTTGTCTTCCTTAGTATAAAACATGAGAGAAATAATAGTTTCTATCATTTCACAAATCTAATAATTTAATAACTGCCCTTGAATTATTCAGTGAAAAAGTCAATTTCTAGCTGGGCAAGGTGGCGCACATACTTGTAATCCCAGCACTTTGGGAGGTTGAGGCAGAAGGATTTTAAACTTGAGCCCAGCTTGGAAAACTTTGCAAGACCTTCTTTCAAAATGTAAAAAATAAGGGCCAGGGATTTAGCTCAGTGGCATGTACTTGTCTGGCAAGCACAAGGTTGTAAGTTCAATCTCCAGTACCAATAAATAAATAAATAAATAAATTAATTAATAAAAAATAGAAATAAAAAAGAGCTAGGGATGCAGCTCATTGCAAAAGTCCTGGGTTCAATCTCTAGTACAAATGAGAAAAAAATGTCAATTTCATGGGGTCTAAATTCCCCAGCTCCTTCCTAGAATTATTTAACATTAGATAAGAGGCTTTCACTTTGTTTTAAAACAGAACAGGAGGGCTAGGGATTTAGCTCAGTGATGCAGCGCCTGCCCAGCAAGTGTGAGGTCTTGAGTTCAATTCCTGTTGCCCTCCCTCTCCTGCAAAAAAAGACAAAACAGCTAAAATACATACATGTGTATACTCCAGGAAAAACAATTCTCTGAAACCTTTAAATTATTTCTTACATTAAGGATATTTATGCTTGTCATTTAGATTTTTGTTTCACAAAGAAAAGTGGGTGGCTTATATGATAAACCTAGCAATTTCCTAAAATATTTTTTTGAGATGGGTTCTCATTATGTAGGTTGTGCTGGCCTTGAACTCCTGTTGATTCTTCTGCCTCTCTTGAGTGCTGGGATTATAGGTGTGCACTACCATGCCTGGCCCCTAAAACAATGATTTTCTTTTCTTTTTTTTTTTTTGTCTTTTTGAGGCAGGGTCTCTCTATGCGGCTCAGGCTGGCCTTGAGCTCACTTTGTAGCTGAGGCATCTTCCTGCCTCAGCCTCCCAAGTGCTGGGGCTGACAGGCATGAGCCACCATGCCCTGCTCAACACTGCTTTTTAAAAACTGACTGATCATCTTTAGATCAACAACTCTTTTTAGAAAGACTAAAAATCACTCATTCTTTCATACTCAGCCCATGTCCAATAAGACAACTAGTATTTTTCCAAATACAAACTCACATCCGACTTATTCTACCTCTCAACTGCTATTAGAAGCTCTAGAACTTTATGATTCTAAGACCCAGGAATCTAACTCCATACAGGCCTGAAACCAGCCCCACAATTCCCATAGTTAATCATTTGATCAGACTGCCTTTAGCCTAGATATGAAAACCGGAGAAATTCAGAACAGTAAACAGCAACAGTGTAAAGAGGAGGAGCCCAAGTGTCCCCTGCACATTCATGTTTTAGAGCTCTCCACCTTTTCTAACTCAGTAGCATCAATAGCATCTTGATTTGCTCCCAGGGCAGCCAAACTAGAGAAGGTCTGAATCTTGAGTCAGCTTCTTCAACAAAACCTACAACGAGGCTGGCTCTCAGTGTGGCAGGCATGTGGCCCACACTCAAAAATGCAGATGATTCCCTCTATGTTAAACTCACTTTTAGAATAAAAGCTCAATAAAATAATCAGCCTGAAGCTCCTTTAAAGTTTTTCTGAATTGGAAAATATTTTAAAAATAAATTCAACTTTGTTTTTAAATATGAGCATATTAGAGAGATTCTTCAGTTAAGTGCAGGGTTTAAGACACTTTTATGGGGTAAAAGCCCATGTTTCACCAGGTACAGCGATACACACCCGTAACTCCAGCTATTCGGAGAGTGAACACAAGTTTGAGGCCAGCCCGGGCCCCTTAGTGAGACCCAGCTTCTCATTACAACTTCAAAAAGGGCTGGCTCAGCTGTACAGTGCTCACCTAGCACACACAGGCATTAGTCACATTTTTAGAATCATCGAAAACAAAACACTGCTGTTTCAAAAGGGGCTGAGAGTTCTTAGAACTTTGCATAGCTAAATATTTTTAAGTCTGTCCAAGAAATTTAATTTAGATTAATGGATGACACTTTTCATAAAAAAAGATTTGCTGAGCAGAGTGAATTTCAGCCCTTGTATTACATAATGTCTCGAGTATTGAGATCTATTGTCCCAGTAGTTCACAGATTAGTCAACAGATTTTTTTTCTTTTGCCTGAGGCTTATTGTTAGAAACATCATCTTCCCTGAAGGAGAGTACATCTAGTAGGGGAGGAAATTATCAGTAGTTAGCTGTGGCTTTTGGTTGATCAAGTTTGAATGTGTTTTCAAAACAGGAAATCCAGAGACTCTGCAAAAAATTCCTGCCTATGTGTCAGTTCCCTAGACTGGTTTTCAGTTTGAATGTATATGCTTGAAATTATAAAGCTTTATTTTTTAAATTTTAGATTTTTGTACTGACAATAGAACTCAGGACCTTGCACTTGCCTGGCAGGTACTACACTGCTGAGTTAAATCCCTGGCCCATGCTTGAAATTACATATATAATTTCAGAAACTTTTTTCACATGTGATAGCCAATTATTATGGGAAAAAAGAGACATGCAACTTATAAACATATTGGGAAAGATAAATGAAGCAAGAAAAGAAAAAATCAAACTATAACAAAGGCATAACTAAGAAAGGAAAAAACTAATGACAGTCACTAGGAGAGACAATAAATTAGAGAACTAGTGTCTGACCATTTGTAATTAGCTCTCATCAATACTATTTTTTCCTGATTAATCTGACTCTTCAAAACTGGACCTGAATAAGCCCTACCTATAGTACCATGAACTGATACTCAGACTTACCCACACATCCTGTTTATGTGTGTGTATGAAGCCATCACCTTAGAATAGTGAGATTATCTGGAATGTCAGAGCCTTAGGTGTGTACAGACCACCGATCCTTTACCTCTGCTGTACAAAGTTGCGAGTTGGTTACCAGCTTCTACACTTGGAACACTGCTGGCAAGAGCTCCTAACCCCTAGAAGCCACAGGAAGGCTGCCCACTGCCACTATATGGTCCCCCTTGGGGTGACAGATGCCGAGCTCCTATAGATCCAGTTTCTCTCTTTTATACTGCCTTAATAATTGCCACCAACAAAAACTGTGGCACCTCTGGCTGTGCAAGACATGTGGCTGCTTTTGACCTCATATCTCTTAGTGCAAATACTCACTTAATAAATATTTAATAATAACCATCATGACTCACTTGGGAGATCAGCCTCTAGGGCTCAGGAGGTCTGTTGCTAATCTCAACCAGCATGATTTGCGGGAAGTAAATGATCTATGACGTGCCTAGAGAGAATGAAAGTGCACACAGGATGCGTCTACTTAGGGCTTTTTTTGGTAGAGAAAGAAATAAACAAGTTAAAAAGAGACAACATTTTCTCTTGACTTAAAGTCTACGTAACTTAAAGGGGGTAGAAGTCCTCCAAACCCCTAGAAGTCAAACTAAACCAAATTATCCAAGCTTAGCTGCGCAATCCGAGTGTAACCACATCAAGTGAGCCCGATCTGCTGCAAAACATCATTTAAACTGGAGCTCTGACTTATTGTTCTCTTACTGCCCTAGAGCAATTTTGTTTTGAAGAGCACAGAACACCCTGTTCCGAATGTGGCTGGCACATGAACTCGATGTGCTGACAGCAATTTGTACTCTGATTAAAATAGGGGGAAAAAAGGAAAGAGTGCACAGCAGTAACAAAAAATGGAATGCAAGAACCCCAAACTGTACAGTTTGTATTTTAGGAAGCAAAACTAAGAAAGAGGCTTCAAAACTTAAAAAAAAAAAAGTGCCGTAAATGCTCCAGCCTAAAGAAGTTAGCTCTGGTAAGTGTCTGTTTTCCCCTTTTCTAATTATAGTAGCTGGTGTCTGATAGCTTTGCACTCGTTCCCAAAACAATTACTGGGTCATGGGGATCTGAATGGGAATGTTGTAATGGCCTTACTACTAGACAAGACTGGTCATCGGGCCAGAGAAAACCAGGTTGTGACAGGTTACTCCCTCTCTGCCGGCCAGGGTTTTCCTGTCGCCTAACTCATGCTAAAGAGTCTCTGTCTCCTGTCTAATACAGCAAGGTATGGAAAGAGAGGGATCTTGGTGATCCCCTAAAAAGGCCAGCAGAGATGGATTTCTAAAAGCAGGTGAGGCATATCCATCACCATTTATTTACAAGGCAGCAGTTTTTATCAGGCATGATGGTCACATTTCCCTTCTGCCCTCCTTGTGCTATCTGAGGTGACCAAACACCACTGAGA